GACAAGACAATTAAAAGTTAAAATCAATTATCTAAATAACCATACACCCAATAGAATAAATCATGTCGTACAACACACATACATACCCACATGCCTACATACGCATACATATAATTACCCATACCCACATACACACACATATATATATATATATATATATATATATATATATATATATATATATACCATCCATTTTCTCCATTAAGGTTCGTTTATATTATGAGGAATACAGAGCTGTACCGGATTTTTTTAAGAAAGATATTAAAGTAAAAATGTAATCAGAGGGGTTTGCATCAGTTAGGAGGGGACTGTTGTTTTTTGGTAGTTAGTAAGTAATAAGGTTAGATCTACATTCTTATATAAATTTGAATCTGCTTCTATGCCTACATTTTAATACTAGTTCTCTCCTTTGATTGCATTGATCATTGTATCTTATTATTCTAATTTTTTCCTCTAAATATAGCCTGCATCTATCTCTAAAGCTATTTAGAGTATGTGCGAAACCTATAATTTTCCAATCTGTCTGCAGGTTTAGACCCTTTTCCTGCAATTCCCAAAATTTCTTTGAAATGACTGTTTGGAATTTTAGTTTAGGATTGGAAAACGAGTACCTATGGGTATAAATTCACTGTTTCAATTCTTCTGCAGAAATTCCAGTGTAAACATTATGTGTCATATTTTCGACTGGGGGCAATGGTTGCCTGGTATACTACCCTAGTGGATCGCATTTGCCCTCGACTAGGCAGTTTTCTCTATTTCTACAGTTACGGGGTGGGGCTTCGTGCTAGATTTTATTTAAGACATAATTATTATGGAAGTTGACAATTTAGTACATGTTGTTAGTGCAGGAGTAGCTAATTTTGATCGATTTCCTATTGAAGATCTTAGAGGGTTTTTTTAGTGAAAGTGTTTATTTTTTAATTTTAGAAAGTGCTGTCCTATATTAATATTTGACACTTTGTAGAAGGTGGAGTGGGTGAACCAAATGATTTTTCTTCTATTTCTACACTTATATCACACATTAGGCGTTTTCGTACTACCTATGGCGGTCAAATAAGATAATTTATGTTTGAAACCACTTTTTATTAATTAATATTTATTAAGAATTTATTACAGGAAATATCAAGTTTTACGGAAACATTGTTGACAATTATGTATTTAGTTACATAACAAATAAATAAAAATAATATAAATTTTGATGCTATATTCGATTCGATTTGTTGTGAGGTATTTTTCATTTTCTCCTTTGTTATTGGCATCATTTTAGAATACTTTGGTTGCAATGCTAAGTTTCCTAAATTGAACAAACTGGAGCTATTTCGTGTACACTTTGTTATCTCTCTTTTCCATTGTTGTTTTTAGATTGCTTTCTTCCAGTCATTTTGATGGGCAATAGAGAAATTCTAAAATTTAGAATGATCTTATTCCATTTAAAAAATAAAGCCTGTAAAAAGAAATATTTTAAATTAATATACGACTAAAAATAAAATGCTTTTGACAAAAAAAAAACTTAGTGATTTTGCTGTAATTATATAACAATAATGTAATGATATTCCACAGATAAATCTATGGTTTATGTTACCACATCTCATCGCATGGTTACAAACTATAAACCTAAGTTGAGCTTGAAATATTGTGTAATCGCCTCTAATTTTTTTGTAAAATACTTGGATATGATATAATGAATAATTTGCAGTGAAAAAAAAAAAAACGATTTTCGATTTTTTGTTGTATACGCCCCCTCCTCCGCCGAACGCATCATATATTCTAGCGCATTCAGTAGTCGTCATTTGCAAGAATTGGATATATTAAGATTTTGAAATTCAATAAAACTTGGATGTCTTTTTTTCCCATCATGGCGTCTGAGTGTTGTATATAAACATTGTTGACAATTATGTTTTTAGTTACATAATAAAAAAAATAATATAAATTTTGGTGCTATATTTGATTTGTTGTTAGGTATTTTTCATTTTCTCCTTTGTTATTGGCATCATTTTAGAATACTTTGGCTGCAATGCTAAGTTTCCTGAGTTGAACAAACTGGAGCTATTTCATTTACGTTTTGTTACCTCTCTTTTCCATTGTTATTTTTAGATCGTTTTTTTCCAGTCATTTTGATGGGCAATAGCGAAATTCTGAAATTTAGAATATTTGAAAAACAAAGCCTGTAAAAAGGAATATTTCCAATTAATATACGACCAAAAATAAAATGCTTTTGACAAAAAACCTTAATGATTTCACTGAAATTCTGTAACAATAATGTAATGATATTCCGCAGACAAATCTATGGTTTATGTTACCACATCTCATCGCATGGTTACGAACTATAAACCTAAGTTGAGCTTGAAATATTGTGTAATCGGCTCTAATTTTTTTGTAAAATACTTGGATATGATATAATGAATAATTTGCAGTGAAATAAAACAATTTTCGATTTTTTGTTGAATACGCCCCTACTCCGCTGAACGCATCATATAAAACTGTAAGCAAGCGAAACAGCCCAAGATACGAACTACAAAATGGAAATACTAAAATCAAGTAAGTACAGAAGTTTAAATATCTGGGAAGTGTTTTAACAGATGACAGAAAATTTGAGAACGAAATCCACAAGTGCATGGGAATAGCAAAATAAGTGTTTCAAAAGTATTAAGAAACAGGCAAATTTCGTTAGCAACAAAGAGTGCTAAAAAGAGTGCTGTAAAATCAGTTCTTCTATATGGCAGTGAATGCTGGACAATATCCTCGCGAATGAAGAGGAAACTTGAGGCAACAACGGGTTCTTACTTAGAATCGGAAAAAAAAAACATTTGAAATTTCTAGAACACATAATGAAGAAAGAAGGCTTGAAGAAATTGATACTCACAAGACAGAGGAAAACAACGAGCAACGTACGTAACGAGTCTGTACAAATGGTTGGCAGAATAAATAGTAAGAGGAATAATAGGAAAGACAAACATTGTTAAGAGCTACAAAAAGGAAGAAATTGTGGGGGAGGAGGTCATGATCACCCACATCCTGAAGATATACGGTACATAGAAATGGTTAGTGATCCAGAAATTGTCCGTTGCATTCGACTTTTTATACATATTTACCAAGCACAGTATCATGTGTAAGAAAGATGTTTATGATGCAAAAATGTACGAAGAGCCTACCTGCCCAGTCGCCTTGAAAATTAGTTATGAAATTATTTCACCAGAGCCCCATGTAATGACGCTGGAGAGAAACATTAGAGAAATATGCAAATAGGCACAGAGAGAGAGAGAGAGAGAGAGAGAGAGAGACATAAAATATATTTTATTTCAGTTATTGCACAAACCAAAATTATTATTTATTTGAACTGAAATGGAAAAGACAAATTTTAGCATAAGCATATGTATAAAGGATAGATTCACATCATGAAATCATAGCTCGATAGCTATATATATATATATATATATATATATATATATATATATATATATATATATATATGTTGGATTGATGTGAGTTTGTGACCCTGGGTTTCACGCTTTTGCGATCGTCAGACAAACTGATTAATTTTTTAAAGTTTTGGGTTTATGTAGATTGCGTGTATTGGTGTTATTATGGGAGTGGGGGGGGGTGGAATAGATGCATGTCCGTACACCCGTTGAGGTACGCAGACACACATACACACTCGCTCGTCCGCCGGGGCTCATACAGATATAAACATATGTGGACAGTATGGGATTTGACATATGTATGCATATGTGTGCTGTTGTCTATATACATACGCATTTGTATGTTGAAATTCATCGGAAGTGTAGCGAAAATTTCTCGTGAATATTTATATACACACACTTTTCACACACATACACACGCATATATATATATATATATATATATATATATAGATAGATAGATAGATAGATAGATAGATGAGATTGAGAGATAGGAAACGGCATAGATAGATAGACTGGCAACAAGTTATCAATTTACAGTTGAATTGGCTATATGTAACCGTAAGTTCTATGCTAACAGTTTCTTTTCTCGCACTTCTTGCTTGTGGAACACTTTCCTGGCTCCATACTTTCCAGTCAACTTTGATCTTTAAAAATTTAAATGCAATGCCAACCGTTATCTACTATCTTCCTGTACTATTGTTCTCGCCCCTTCATAATGTTTCTGTATTCTAATTCTCTCACACCCAGTAACCTCTTGTGACTTCATTGCTTTACTGCCTCGCTTGGGGCGAATTCTATTTAAAAAAAAGACATGAAATGACTGATAAAGAGAGGGGGGGGAGAGGAGAAAGTGAGATAGAATAGGTTAAAGAACTCGCTATTAACGTAAGTATTAACGACAAAATTACACAAACCAAGTAAAAAAATGAAAAATTGTAATCATTATGAAAAATGAAATATTAATAAAATTGTGCTGCCATTAAAAAAAGGAAGCATTTTCGTAAATATCTTTTTTCCTTTGTCCTCTTTCTCTCCCCCTTCTCTGTGTGGAAATGGGAGTTAAAATGTGGGACCGAAAGAATTCCACCCATTTGAATATTCCCCACGCTCCCAACAAATAAACTCAAACATTTTTTTTTAATGAAACAAAGATAGATATGAATTCAATGTACGGCATATTTTTGACACATAGCGTCATGTGATCTTTTAGGAAAAGCAGCAAATAGAAATAATAACAAAAGCAGACGATAACAAACTTCAACATCCAATCTTTATTGGATTAACCGAGTTGATCGAATGAAGCAGTAAAAACAACTTTCTTGCTATATTCCGATTATTATCTTTATAATTTAGTTTTACTTCTCCAAATTGTAATTTGCGGTTGTGAAAAACAGATGTTTTAATATGGCGCGCCAAGAATTGGAGTTATATTGGTTTTGGCTTGTGTCCCTCTACTCTCGACATGCGATAAAGGATTTGAGAATAAAAACACTGAAATAATAATGGTTATAAGAGGAAGTGGTGACGGGGTCAAGAAATGATGAAAGAGAGAGAAAAAAAACATTACAGCCTGAGTGGTTAGAAGACAGAGAAGGTAAGAAAGGAGAAGATAGTAAAAAGAAATGTGATTCGTAAAAATGAAGAGACGATAAAATAAAAACGAATGGATACCAAAAAGAGACGCAAAACTGGAATAGGAGAGGGTTTAATCTGCAAAAGGGAGGAGTGGCTTGAAATAGATAGAGAAAGAAAAAAAGGTCTGTGAAAGAGGAGAAATAAAAGAAAAAACAAAGTTTTAGAGTGAAGGAGAGCAAGGACAAAAGCTGAGAGTGAGCTAATAATTGTTGCTATAGATAGATAGATAGATAGATAGATAGATAGATAGATAGATAGATAGATAGAAACAAACAGACCAAAAAAGAGGATGATATTAATAGACCAAGAAGATAAAAACAAGACCAAAAGAAGAAAATTATTTGAAAAATCGTAAACAATCAGGGAGAAGTTTCTTTGTTTTTTTGGCGGGAGGGGGGGGGGCTTGTTACTTTTTTAAGATAGATAGAAAAAAGAACTTATATTAACATCAGGAAGAGACAGTAGAAATTTTTAGGATACGTAATGAGGAAGTGGGGGCTTAGAAAATTTGATACTCACAGGACATATTGATGGAAAGAGGGACAAAGTAAAACAGTGCGTAACATACTTGATGGACTTGAGTAAATGGTTGGCGGAACAGGGTTTAGGAGAAATAGCCAGAAGACAAAATTTATTAAGTGCTACAAGGGACAAGAACTTGGGGGTGGTCATGATTATCTACGTCCTGAACGGACACACATCGATAGATAGATAGATAGATAGATAGATAGATAGATAGATAGATAGATAGATAGATAGATTCATTCCGTAATGAGTGGATTTTTGGCTTTTTATTTGGAACAAAAGAATAAAAATATTCAAGGGTATTTCAGCTGCAGGTAAAAATTAAGGATGAAAATAATAAAAACAATGTGTTTCGAAGACTTTGATTAAAAAAATAAAAATTAGATTTATTTCTCAAACGAAATATACAACTTGTGCGCGTGCGTGTGTGTGTGTGTGTGCGCGCGCGCGTGCGTGCGCACGCATGCGTGCGTGCGCACGCATGCGTGCGTGCGTCCAGCAAAATCTAAAATACGGCCAGAGGATATACGCGAATTTAAATGTTGCCGAAACATATTTAGATAAACAAGAAGAAATTGTTTTAATTTTGAATAATAAAATGTATTTTCCTGTTTCCGTTTATTTATTCTTTTTAAAGTGTTAGGATTTGGAATACTTTTTTTTTAAAAAGTCACTTTTCAAAGCACTTTCTTTGCCACATGTCGAATTTCTATGAATTACGAAAGCTTCAGTTGCAATAGTGATTTATTAAGCGCACTTTAGATGTGGCATAAAGTCACAAGTAAGGAGAGCACATAGTGAGGATCGAACTCACTATTAAGTCGTATTTGATCAATCAAGTGTGAAAAGCTGACTCACGACTCCTCTTCATCTGTAATGAGATTGTTCAGCAGTCACTGTCGTACAGGTGGAGTGATATTTAGTAGCAGTTCAGTACTCTTTTCTTTGTTTCTGTCGATGGCTTATAAAAAGTCTGCTTTTAATTAAAATAATTTTATAGATTTCTTCCGAAAATGGCGTTATTAGGTTAATAACAACTGCTTGGTTGATTGGGTTGGTGCATTTTACGATCTTTGTTAGGTTATTCGATATCGAAATCTGTTTTTATTATACTCGAATCTATGGTCTGTAATAATCTATCCAGTAGGTAACCCCTTTTGTAGGGGTTTGGGTTTTAGCCTTCTACAGGAGGATGCAGTCATTGTATTATAGGTCCTGTTGAAAGACTATTTACTAAGAGGAAGATCAGCCATTAGAATCATTCTTTCTTTTCACTCATGCTCTACCTCACTCTATATCCCTTACACTTTCTCTATCTATCTGTCTTTGTCTGCAGTCGGAGATCCATCTCCATCTGTGTCCCGCATTAAATTCAGCCTTGTGCCACATCTGACCGCGTGGAGCGGTTGGTAGATATCCTGTCTTTCTTTTTCTCTTTCACTAAGTGTTTCTTTATTTCATTATTTTTATATATTATTTTTATATTATTTTTATTTTTTTATTACACGCATACAAAGCGCTCACTAAAGATCTTCATTGTGGCCACAATGGCCAACCTGAGCACGAAACACCTGGTCTGAACATACTGATGTTTCTGAGGCTGTTATTTATATCGGCAACATCTAATTTTTATGTTCTTCAATCTGTTTTCTCATATGTGATCTTTAAGTGGTTATGTAAGACGTTATTATTTATCTCTATATGTTTACTTATCTAACTGTTGTGGTAGGATCCACCTAATTTGCATAGTGGAGTACCGACCATATAAATATGGTTGGTATCGGGAAGAGAGTGGAGGAATCAAGAGATTCAACCAGAGACTCTGCCCGACTGCGACTCAGTCAACACATTCTCCAGGAACGGTCTTACCAGGTATATACAAAAGACTATATGTAAATATTGTGTACACTTTCTTGTTTCAATACATTTTGTTCTAAGTACATTTTGTGTTGCATTATTATTCCATGCATTAGTCAAGTTTCAACACTAACCAATATCGATTTATTTGGCAGGTAACTTCTTGGTGTTATCCGTCTAGGAAGGCGACTCCAGTGTGTGGCACCTTTGGAAAGCGCCTGAAAACCATTATCACGAGTTAACTCAAGGCTTGTGAGTAAAATTTGCTAATCGGGGTAGTTCAGAAGCCGTCGATGATTGCAAAGGTTCAAGTTAAAAAATCATCGTGATCGAAGGTTTGAGTCTTGTTCAAACTGCTGATCGTGTCAGATTATGCCTGCTCTTCCATAAACTGTAACTAAACTGCGCTTAGTATAGCTGCGGTATAAAGCATATGTGAACTCTCTGGGGGGTGTACAAACACAGATGTACCTGAGCAGGCGTCTTCAACAGAGATTGACTAGTCGTCCCAGCAGAGTGGAGTGCTCGAAAAACGAGTAGCTGGCCGTCATGCATATTCGAAAATATGTGTTGCATGTCTTCCGACTTTGTGCCAGAGGTTTGTCCAATTTGAAAAGCTATATTTGTTTACAATGATAGCTTTTTATGGTCATACTCGACAACGAGGAGGCAGACGACATAATATAAAATATGGGAAAAAAATCTATCAATAAATTAACCTGATGTTTCTTTATGTTTTCTTGACACCGAATATGCACTGGCGGTATATATATTTTCAGGCAACTTGTTAGATTTTTTCCCTGGCCGACGGCTGTCTCACTTGGCACAGTTCAATGAGAGCCATAAAAACAAGGCCGTTAAGTAGAAAACCGACATTTTCACTTTTGCTCTCCAGTTATTTCGTCTTCGTTTTAGGACTTAACATTTTTTTTCTTTCATATTTTGCCTTTTTTCATTGGTTACTTTCTCATGGACAAATTGAGATTCTGAGTCATATTTTCACACAGTTTATCTTCGCTCTCTCCCTTCTTCCACTCTCTGTATCTGTCTCTCCTTTTCTTTCTTTAATTCAAATACGTTTATAAACATAATCCACGCCTGCTTAAAATCTACATAATCTTACTATTATCATTCTTCCGCTGTGTCATTTTTATTTGTTTTTCCTTTTTTGCCCTATCAGATTGTTTTTGTTTGTTCCTAGATATTCCTAGACATCAGCAGCAAAACGAGAACAGTCTACTCCATAGATTAAATAAAGTGTTCAATTCGGAATTTCTTGTAGATTGCCCAGATTGATATATACCCGAGGAAGACTGGATGGCACAACGACAAAAACGTTGCGATAAAAAAGAACAAAGATGAATAAAACAGTCAGAAAAGAAATAGTGTAAGTAATACGAGATCTAATCAAAAAGTATCGGGACTGGTTCTATAAAAAGAAAACTACCACACATATCAATTCGGCATTTAATCTCCTTCGAAGTAGTCCCCTTCTAAAACCACACACTTTATGCATCGTTTCCATTCATGAAAGCACTCCTGGTACTCCTTTTTTTGGGGGGAAGAGTTGCCTCATCGCATTCTCTTGGATTTCCTCGAAGTCTTAAATCTGGGGAATACGAGAACATCTGGAAATGTTGTGTCAGGCCAAAAAGTGCTTCACAAGCCATGGTCACTGATGGAAACAATGTGGTGTAGTGAAACGACCACATTCTACACACTTTCCTTCCCAGCACTGCTATGAACAATGGAAGTGATAATGCCCGATATTGTTCAAGATCAATCTGTGCCAAGCGACTTCACTTTATTTAGTTTAGCTCTTATTATACCAACAGGCCTGATACTTTTTTATCAGACCTCATATTAATTCTTCCAGTCCAAGAATTAATAGATTTAAATCGTCACAATGAGGGTAACAGAACAGACAAATGGCAGTCAGGGTGGGTGCTGTCTTTCAGCGAGAATTAGAAATGTCCTCCAAGGAGAACAGCAAGCAGACGATTATTTTCCGTGCAACATCTGTAACCCTCAAGAGGATCCTCCTGTCCGCTGCTGAGCAATGGTAGAAGGATATCAGCAGCTCCCTTTGTAAATTTATTTTTTTCTGGGATGTCTCAGTAAATAGAATCGATGCTGCGTATTCTTGGCTATCGTTGTGGCATCGCTAACCCAAAAGAGATCCTCGCCAATGCGCATGACCAGAAATTTAATTTTATCCAACTTCTTTACACAGACATTGCCGATAACCAAAAGGAGACTTGCTGTGGCATTTCTTCGAAAGTCCACCCCCAGCTTCTTTATATTTATGGTGTTTAAGGACAGGGTTATTCACCAACATCCATGCAGCCAATCTTTCTATTTCATTCCTGTAGTTCACCTCATAACCCCCGAAAGGATGGCAACTGGTCTACCGCAGAAAGAAATGGCAACCTACTGCGGGAAAAAATATGCCTCGTCTGTCATGTATCAAAAGATGCATGATCGCTATTTTATGTGCATGTCCCTCCAGAACGTTGGCGATCATGGATCTCCACAATTTCCTGTCTTTAGTAGCTCTTAATGAATTTTGTCATTTTGTTATCTCTCCTAAACCCAGTTCCGCCATTCATTTAGTCAAGCTCGCTAGATAAGTTATGCATTGTTTTCCTCTGACCCTCTTACCTTTAATCTATCCTGTGAGTATCAAATTTTACAAAACCCCTTTTATCTTTATACACCTTAAAAATTTAATCTAAAACATACAATATAATATATAGCATATAAACATATCGTGTAAATTTCAGCTTCTAAAATCTGTTTTTATTATAAATATTTACAATAACTTAGTTGGAGATGTGAGACTGTATAATGCAATTCGAGGTTTGTTCAACACATATAGAATATATAGTATAGCTACTATAATAAATTATAATATTATAATATATATTATAATAATATTATAATATATATTATACTAATATTATAATATATATTTTAATAGTATTGCCACTTTTACTTTTACTCATATAATATATTTAGTTTATATATATATATATATATATATATATATATATTAGAGCAGCTGCGCTATATTGAGTCTAGTTGGTTTACTCTTCGTCACCGTCACCAGTGGTATGACGATTGCGTTGTATCGTAACGGTCTGGATTCGATTGGATACGCACTGCTGATGAGTCCCAAAATAAGATGAAATGGCCCGTCCAATGCTTTCTACATTCTGTTGAGGATTCTTTTCTAGACTCCATTAATTATTATGTGAAATTATTCAAATCTCCATAAATTTCTAATATATATATATATATATATATATATATATAAATTATTCTCAATATTTTATTTTATATTACATATCATTGTATATATTTTGTATTGTATACTATGATAA